GACCAAAAATATTGAGTATCAAATATTTACATCACAAAATGGAAAAATGGATTATTTTTCTTTTCTTTTCTTTTTTTCTTCTTTTTTTCTTTTTTTTGACTATTTACTCGTTCAATTGAAGTACACTATATAACAAAGAAAATTAAGCGCATTAAGTTAATTAGAACAAAAAATCTGTGCATATTTTTCGCACATTTATACTACCCACTGAGTGGCCTATTATATGATGTTTGAATGAAGTTACATATATATACATATACATATTATGAATGTATTATGTATCCCCTTTATAAATTGTGCCCCCTCAGATGAAAAATACTTCCGCGGCGCCTGTAATCGAGAAATCGTGGTTTCTTTTTTTTACATTCCTGCTAGATAGTTACAAACGCGAACATTAAATAAATATCCGCTATACTTCTTGCACTAAAAATCATTATCCCAGCCAGAAATATCGTCGGATGGTGGCGGATCAGAATCCGCCGGATAAACGTCGAAATTGGCGGTATCTATAGCACTTTGGACTCGTGGCAGTATCGGGGGTTCTAAAGTTCTCGTCCTCAGGCCTTCCCAATTAAAACCATCAAACCACCTGTAAATAATTCATAGAAATAAAATATTCGGATATTGCTTTTCTGACAAGCGTGACGGAAAAAATATACTTACTTGTGTTTCTGTATTTCACTAATGCCGCCTTTTTGATATCCAAGACGTTCCGCTGGATTATCCCTAAAAAAGAAAAATGATGGATGTTTGTCATTTTTATTATAGAGTATCACTAATGTAACATAAAATATATTGTAATTTACCTGCAGAGCTTTTTGATGAGCGCCATTGCATTACGCGTAATAGATCTGGGAAATTCTATGGCGTCGATTCCTTTCAATATTATGTTATATGTTTTCATCGGGTCGGCGCCGGTAAAAGGAGGTGTGCCCGTAAGTAATTCGAACATGAGAACTCCAAGGGACCAATAATCTGCGCTTATGTCGTGACCTTTATTTAGAATAACTTCCGGTGCCACATATTCTGGCGTGCCGCAAAAAGTCCATGTCTTCCGTCCGTTATCCAATCGTTTAGCAAAGCCGAAATCCACGAGTTTAACATATCTGAAAGATAATATTGCGAAATTTAAATTTATCAGAAGATCTACCAAAGATTTGCTATCATATAGATGTACACATTCTTACCCTTGATTATCCAAAAGTAAATTCTCCGGTTTAAGATCCCTATAAATGATATTTCTCGAGTGCAGATAATCGAATGCTTCTACAACGCACGCGGTATAAAATCGTGTGGTGCCGTCATCGAAGTGTCCCTTGTCCCTGAGAACAGTCCATAGTTCGCCACCCAAACAAGCCTCCATCAGCATATAGAGATATTTTCTGTCCTTGAAAGTCTTGAAGAGTTTCACCACAAAATCGCAATCCGCTTCGCTCATAATTCTCTTTTCCGACATGATGTGCTGTTGCTGTCGTGTCTCGACGATTTGCGCCTTCTTCATTTGCTTCAAAGCGAAGGATCGTGTGCTATCTCCGGCAATTTGAACTAATTCAACTCTTCCGAAACCACCCACGCCGAGAGTTGCAATAGTACGAAGGTCTTGTAACCGCACGTCCCGGAATTCCTCGTTTAGTCTAAAGAAATCGTAGGATTTCAATTTCCACTATAATTAATATTCATTTATACATTTATTACAGAAAGTCAATGATACTTGTAAATTGTAATTAAACTTATACTTTTCTTGCTTATCGCACTTAATGTATATTTGCTGACTGAATATCGATATTTTTTAATATAGTGTCTGCTGCTTTTATTTTTTTATACCATTAAACTTACTTGGAACAGTTTATTCTCCCATCCTAATGCTAAGCATGAAACATAATATTTATACATGATATAGAATATAATATGCAGCTGTCATTTCTAGAAAATTTATCTAACATGGATTTAACTTTTGTAATTGACAAGAGATATATTTACCTTCTGCGTTCCACCAGCTCATCTCTGTATCTCGTTCGGATTTCATCCAACGATGAAATTAATTGATTAAACGTTTCGCGGTCTATTACTAAACAGTTCACTCCTTCCGGATCATCAGCAATTATGTTAGCAGTTCTGAGATCATCACTATAAGAATGAAAAGCATTAGCATATATTCTTACTTGTTAATTTTAATTTAATATTAAATTTGTAAAAAAAAAAATACTTGAAAATTTCAGTAAGAAGCGTTTGATACAATTTCACAGCGTAAGTTAAAGTTACTCGATTAATTTTAATATTTCCAAAATAATAAAATCAAAATGTTAATCGTGCTTACCCTTGCAAAGCTTTCTCGCCAAAAAAATCACCTTTACTCAACGTCCTAATGTACTTTTCCTCCGTTGTGTCAGGTTGCTTGATTGTCACGCGCACTTGCCCTCTACTGATAATGAAAAACGTATCACCTCTCGCCCCTTGTCTTATTATATAATCCCCATTGTTGTAGAATGTCTGGGAATATAAAAATAGAAGACAATTACCATAAATAACAATTCGAAGAAGAAGCTTCTTTCACTAGGGAAATGATCTTACCTCTTCTAAGACATCCGAAATTTTTATTAGGGTTTCCTCGGGCAAGTTCTTGAAAATCGGCACGCTGAAACATAAATTCTACGTTATTTCTATACGTAGCAGTAGGATTACCTGCAAGTTTTTATTAAAAGTTATTCATAAAAATATTCATGTTATGCATAAAAATACACATTGTTTTTTTTTTGTTTTTCTTAGTAAAGAACACTATAATTTTGAATCTCGATCGAGAGTCTACATTAAAAATAAAAGATTCTCTCAACAATAAAACATTGATATATCACATTATTTACACAGTTGGCTCTTTTGACATATAAAAATTATAAATTTTTCTTTCGTGTGAATTTATCATTTTTATACCGTTGCGTTAAAATCATTCGCAGAAAAACTTTACCATAAACTGAATCGTTAAGTTAACGTTGAATGACATTTGTAATTTAGTTTTTGTTTTTTCTTAATTCGTGATAAGGGAACTTTATTCACACACCGTGCATGCAAGATAATGAAAAGATTAAAAGCGCTAAAAATAAACACTGCTTTAGAAAGCATCTGTACGGTCAGCTTGAAGTACATCACTCTAATTGAGGGAGAATAATGTTAGCATGGCGATTAGCATACCTCTTCAAAAAGTCCGTGTATTCCGCCTGCCTCGAGAGACCTGTCCTCATCATGATGGTTTGGAAGCATTGCCGGTCGATTGCCCAGAGCTGGCAGTCAGTTGCAGCGGTAATCGTCGCTGTCCTCTTGCAGTTGTAAAGAATCGCGAGTTCACCTAGCACCTTGCCATGTTGCAAAGTGCTGAGATACTTGCCGTCTCTCGATACTTCGACCTTCCCCTCTGAAAAGAAATATTGATCGGTGATCACATCGGTGATACATATAATCTTGTAGAATGACTGTAGAATATTATCGACATGAGTCGTTTAAAATATAACACTTTATCGTGTTACAATTATTCAGTAAGATTAAAACCAAATTTTTAATCGTCAGTATTAATTTATTATCTTATTTGTATTTTTTACGTTATTTATAATATATTCGTATTAAAGCGCTATTTAAATTCCATCAACATTTAATCGGCTTTATTTGTAAAAAATGTGATTTATTGTTATTACTTTATTATTATATAAGAATTATTGAATTTTATTGGACCAGTTAATAAGAATTAAAATCATTTCGTCGCAATGCTAAAAATATAATATTCAGTAAAACAGAACAAAATTCTGGAACAAGAAAGACAGCCGTGTGAAGCCAGTATTGAAATTAATCGTAGATAAGAGCTAGACATAAGAGCTAAATCAGTCGTCAAGTAGCTGACGTTCTTACTAAAACTGAAAATTTGTGCGCGTAAGACGATGTGAGGCTTATCAAAACAATAACAAATACAGATAGTATGCCAAATATTCTAACATACGTTCGATTCCCTTAAACGGTTGCTGTCAAAAGCTGAAACACATTCTGAGTATAAATTATTAATTTTTAATATAATGTCGCGTAAGAATCGAGTGATTTTTATTCCCAATAGCACGCCGACATTTCTACAAAAATCCATCAAGTCCCAGCATAATCATTCTTTCGACACTTAACTTATTCATGACATTTGTCAAGAAGACTCCGATTGCATCTAAAAAGATAGTATTAAGTCGCAGAAACCGTATAATGCTGTGCAATTATACACCACTTATCGTCGTTATCACACTGCTTGATATTCTTCGCTAATAACTTTTTTCATATATCACTATAGTGTGAACCACATACAGAATTCACTATACTATCAAATGTACAAAATATTAAACATAATTATTCAAAATATTTTTAAATATTTAATTAATTATTTATTTGAATAACATTTAGTTTAAATTATATTTCTTTCTCATTTGCACGAAAGTATGTCATAAAATATAATTAATAAACAATAAAATTATTCGCCGTAATAATACAAGTTGCCAAGATATGAGATATAGGACCATAAGACTCAAAAATAATATTTTTTATCAAATCAGTACTGTATGAAAAAAATCTTACACTTGATTAACACATTTTATTCATAAAACTAAAATATATATATTCTATAATTCTGTCGATAAAAATTAACCTGATTGATAAACTTCGCTTCCATCGGTTTTTAATTATAGAGTTTGATACATCATCATAAAATAGGATACTGCCATATTTGTGAGCTGGAAAAAGCACATTAAACTGCTCATTGAACGTATGTTAAAGTTCGACTTTTTATTGTTAAAAAAATTTCAACTTTACCGCAGCAAAACTTTGCAAAGAAGCATCGAGTATAGAACCAAGTGTCATAGTTACATCTTTTGCTCCTTTTTGCATTAAAAATAATATTAATTTCTGAGTATGCACCGGTGCTATGTACCACAATCCATTATAACTGCAATAGATATTTCATATTTGTTACTCTAATTTTTAACATATAGATATATATATAATCGCAGAGTTTGTACAAATGTATCTCTACACACAAATATACTTGCGTTTAAGATACGATACTCACGTTGCTTTGAAAAAATTTGTTCCATGATCCGTTAATGCTTGCCCAACATAGTTACCGATGTACAAATAACTCAAATGAGCAAATATGAATACAATTATTATAAAGATCTCAATAACATCGTTCTCTACTGTAAATAGCAGAAAACACTACAACAAAATACGATTTCAATAAACGGTTCGTAATTTACCAGAACAGAAAAAACTTACTTACTTGAAAAAGACTGAAACTCAAAGAAGTGATACCCATTGCGACCAGAATAATGAATAATAACGTAAAATTAGACATAAAATATTCTATACACCTTTAACAAACAACTAAATATTGGAATTATTATATTATTATTAATTTAAAATTCAACATATCAATTATTTTTAAAAGAACATAGTGAAGCCATATAAAAAGAATAAGATAGTATATAAAAAATATTATAACAAATATAAAAGTACAGACTCGATGGCTTTTCGATGTACAACGACCGCATCTGCAATCCTCCGATGAAGAAGATATTCTTTTCGAGGACTAGCTAACACACTCATCTCGAACACGTTTTCCACTCGGTAACTGTATATATAGAAAACTATTTACATGTATGTATTTCGATATCAAAGCAAATGCTAACGAAACAAAAACATCTAACATTACCTGGCAATTTTAAGCAGTGCACACGAATGCAAAATATATATTACAAATGTGACACCAACGGAACTCAATCCGATCATTCCTATGTACACAGCTAATGATTCATGTAACAATATAGCGAAATAATATTTCTCCTGGTTGACGAAATATTCCGCGACTATGATTAATCGACATGGTCGTGATTCGTTCAATGGTAACATAATATTGAGAATCACTGGCCAAAATTGAAATATTACGGTAAAAAATATGAAACCGTGACAAAACACTGAAAAAAATAAAATCTAATTTAAATTCAAATAGATTTTAAATAAATTATTACACGAAAAGATATTCGCGCGAGAAATGCAAAACTTTTATTTTGTTAGTAAAAAAAGATAAAAATAAAGAAATAAAATCGTCTATAGGCCATTATAAAATTTATGATACAAACGTCTCGTAATAATTGGAATTCTTACCCATTACAATAATTGTGAATAGCTTTGCGTTGTAAGCGTATTTTTCAATAATATCAATTTCCAATTTAGTTTTCAATAAATTGTAATCATTTCGCATATGTTCCAGCAGTCCTTTCACCTGCTTATTTCATTTTCTATTATCAATCTTTACAATACAATTTATTGTACTTTATAAATGTTACGGTATAACGTTTAAAATAAATTTGGACTTACAGAATCTGTCTGAATAATAAAACAGCAATATTTTGTTGTACCAAAACTAATAGGAAAAAGAAAGCAGAAAATCTTAAAAACAAGATCTCTATTATACTGCATTGTAACAAATGACAGCAGCTAGAAAAATATTTATAGATCATAAATTATTTGTATGTATCACCAGAGAGAAAGTTTTCTACTCATTTTATTACAGAAAAATAAAAAACAAATATATTTAAAAAAAACCTATATAATATTCTATTTTAATTCAATTATAATATTATAAAATGCGAAAAATATTATTAATGAAATAATATCAATATTGCCATATATATATTATATAAGAAAAAGAAAATAAGAAATAAGAAACAATAAGTAATAAAATAAAAATAATTTTTATTATGTAATACGAGTATTTAACGAATATAATTATTTTATACAACCGCGCAAAAAGAAATGTAACTCGATACCTGGGCAATAATACATGTTATCAGAATAATGACAAACAACATTTTCTGTATTCGAGTAAAAAATGATTGCTGATAAGGCCATAAACCGAGCGATTTCAGAATAACCCGATTAATTCTGTAGTAGCGCTCTTCAATAGCATGCACTTCATACAAGAACTGCGACATGACTGTCGCACGACCATTCTCATATTGTTCCTCTTCATATTTTATCTGAATTTTGAACGACTGATATCCCCAAACGACGATAATCGTGGAATAAGAATACGACTGTATTTTTCCAACAACACTGAAAAGCAATTTTCATAATATCGGTAAAAATAAAATTACTTCAATTTGTACCTCTGTTTCAGTATTCCATTCTTTTCAATAATAAGCGAAAAGAGTAAAAGGGAGAACACATGTTCTTACTCAATTATTCATCGATGCTCCCCATAACATGCGTAAGGTGCACGTTAAACTGTTTCCAAGGAAGTCATATCGTTGTTTCCCGAATATTAGAAACTATACATAATTTATCTAAATTGCTGCAAAATATTTTGCTTTTAATTTTTATACAGTTGCAAATGCGTAACTATAGAACAACGTATTAGTCTCTTCTCAGTCATCAAACTATCACATACCATGATCAAACTCAGCTACAAAATAACAAATTCGTTCGAATTGTAAGTTTAAGAAATTTTTACATATTGTCACACTTTTGTTTTTTTATTATCCTTTGATTGTAAATCTTTTTTTAATAAATTTAATTAAAATTATATAAATAAAAGAAAAAATAAAAATGTAAGAATTGAGCGGCTAATAAAAACAGTATGGAATTATATAAATAACTTTTAGTTGATTGATATGATATCAAATTTATTGCTATAGTTTTAAACCGCGAAAGATCATTTTAAACGATTAATAATCCACTCACGATCGAAATAATTCGCTGTAATATTTTATAATACAAATCATAAGCAATTTAAACCTAATCTTTCATTTACTTATATTATATTTTAATGCCTTTTGTTGTTAAGTTATCTCTTTATTAATGCTGGACCAAAAGAATAAAAGAATGTTACGCTTGTTTAACACATTATATTCAACAAATCTAAAATACATGTTCTACAACTCTGTCAACCTGATAAAAATCTTGTTTCATTCTTCTTAAATCTTCTTAATCTTGTTAAAATTCATCTGATTGATAATAAACTTTGCAATTTGTTATTATTGGGTCTGATACATCATCATAAAATAGAATACTGCCATATTCATGAGCTGCAAGAAATACATTTAACTTCTCGTTAAATACAATTAATAGCTCGATCTTTTTGTTGCATTGAAGAAATTTTAATTTTACCGTAGCAAAACCTTCTAAGGAAGAATCGAAGACATTAGCAAGTCTCAAAGTGATATTTTTTACTCCTGTTTGCATTAAAAATAATATGAATTTCTGAGCATGTACCGGTGCTGTATACCATAATCCATTATAACTGCAATATATTTAACATTTACATAAAATCTGTTGTAAATTAGCAAAAAGATAACGGTAATTTTATAATATATTTTATTCATTTAGTTGTTACGATTTAAATAGAATTTAACTAATCCTACACACACGAGTGTGATCATGTATTAAACACGATACTCACGTTGCTTGGAAAAAATTTACTCCATGATCCATTATTTCTTGCCCAACATAATTATCGACAAACATGTAAATTAAATGAATAAGTATCACTAAAATAGTCACTTTATAGTGATACCAGTTATATCGTCCGCTATTGTAATTAGTTGGAGACACTGCAATGCCATTTTAATAAACAATCCATATTTAGTCTAAATAAGAAGAAAAATAAATTACCTATTTGAAAAAGACTGAGACTTAAAGAAATAACACCAACCGTGACCAGAATACTGTATAATACCGCAAAATTAGATATCAAGTAATTGTTAAACCTTTAACAAAAAAACTGAATGTTGAAATTATTACATTATCAACATATGTTCAATATCCCAGGTAGAACTTTTGTCTGGAAACAATCAGGGCTCCATATATTTTTTGGAAAATATTTCTGGGATCTAGGTGGGAAATCTAGCTAGGCTCTGTGTAAAGTTTGGGACGCCTAAATTGAACAGGCCCTATTGCTGAATTCAGGTCGGCCCAAGATTACAGCCGGAATTTGTTCAGAAAAATTATCTGGCATTTAGCTGGGACCTATAATTTTCCTAGATATTTGCTTGGTTTGTACCATAATTATTTCTATAATCCAATCTGGTCCAGGCTTGAATCTAAAATTTTTCTCTAAAATATTCCTTGGAATCCCAGCTCGGCTTCGACTTCATTTTCTCTTTCATTTTCATAACGGCTAATTTCATCATTTTGTACCATGTGTAAATCACTCTCAGACTCAGAATTTTCATGTGCTTTGGCTTCTTCGTATGCGCAGTCATTACCGGTAGTGCGATAACAATTATCGATAGCTATATTACTGCCTTGCACATCATTGTTAATCCCACTGTCGGTTTTCATTATTAGACACATTCTTTTTTCTTATTTTTTCTCGCGTAATATTTTCGTTTTCTCAATAATTGTGAGGACATCCATGTATCTTCGATGTCATTCATTATCTCAAGTGTCTCAAAACTTGTGACCACTAATTAAGAAGACAATTTGTACAAGACAGTTCAGGAAAACTGACACCAGAGATGCCAACTCGAGCTCCATGCAACAGAGCAACATGAGGGGTAGGGCCCCCACCATGCGGGCATCACACAAGCGAGAATCGCTACGTCATTCGTCCGTGTGGCGCTCAGTCACTCGCTTTATAGTATAAAGTACAACGCAAATTTTCTTGCGCAAAACTAGGTATTTTAGGATTATATTCTGGACCTATTAGGGTATTTAAAGCTAGATTATCTAATCCAGGCTCCATAGTTTCATATC